AAAAACTGTTGGTCCATACTTTTGCATAAATCAGTGGTAGGATTTATCTCTAACTAATCCAAATATTTTTTCTTCATGATTACATTTTCCAGCCCAAAAACTACTGAAATGCCTGTTTTTGAGTTAATTGCGTTGAATACACAAGACCCACGAGTAGTTACATATATTTCGGCTTTTGATATTAAGGGCTGGTTTCTCCAACTCCACTTAACTTAGTTTTGTCATTTTTTGGACTTAGTCAAAAATAAGCTGATTAAAAAGTAAGCTAACTTTCGGCTTAGGTTAGCCTAGATGGTGAAAATGAACTTGGACTTATTTTCAGTGCCACAGACTTAACTAAGTTAAGTTGGGTTGGAGAAACCCGCCCCAAGAGTTATGCGTTTTTTAAAGATGGTCGACAAATTCGCAAGATTTCCGTAAAACATTGTAGATAAGTGGGCAAGTACATACATAAATATACAGATATGTATATGGTATGTATGTATACATATGTATGTATGTATGGATATGGCTTTGTTTGATACTGATTCATACTTATCCACTGGTATAAAAATAAGTAAGCATTTCTTTTTATCATGTTTACATTATATCTGCATCGGTTGTTGCCTTCATTGCTTAATATTTAAGCACACACAATACAAATTGTGAGCGTAAACTGCGCTGTTGATATTGACAGAGGCGTTATTTTATTAAATAAGAGTTCAATTGTATGCATTTTTGTTATAGGTATCTTTCATTCCTGTATTAGACCTCATGACAAAGTCTATATGGTATATATAAAAGAGAACCTTCTAATTGTTGAAACGTCCAACATATTTGGCATTTTTTGCTTTTGAGTTAAATAGGGTGGGCGCGGAGTGATTAGCAAGCGTACATATTTTCGTGACGGGCTAATTAGCGAAAAGTTGCCAACGATAGAGTAGTGAGACCAACAAAGTTTTTACCAATTTTATATTGTACAACTCAACGAGGTCTCGGAAACTGGTGCTAAGTCTGAATTTCTACTTTGGCTTCCAACATATGTACGCATGTACATACATACATATGTGCATATGTACATATCGACTTTTACACCTACGCTTTTCAGTGCAGATTTAGTTCACATATCAATTGTGCATTGCTTATTGTACATATTTTACAAGTTTTTTTATCATCTTGTTTACGTATTGCGATAATAAAAATCCAGTTCGTTTATTTTTTTGTTGATATATTCCCTTCATATATGTGTGTATGTATATATTTTAATTTGCTGCTCACTGCTCCCACTTTTACTGACGTAAAATTCTTTTTTCGGTCATTATTGCTTGCAAAAATATTTTTCTTCAGCCTGCCCTTTTCCAATACACATAATTTGCATGAGTATGCACTTATTTCATCATACTTCACTTGCCTTTGTATTTATTATTGCAATGTTTGCATAAAAACCTTATTAAAATTGGTGATTACTTGCAATTATATATTTAAAAGATATTGCGTACTTTAAACCACTACTAATTCCACTTAACGTTTTTAGCTGATTTCTTCACTCACTTTCATGTAATCACACTACAAATTTTAATTTCATTTCTTTTTAGTCCCAAAATTATTCTTTTCTCCTATCTGTCTTCCTCCTTTTTGGTACTTTGTTTTTATTTATTTCTTTGGTTTTGTACGATTGTCGTTTGCTCCCTCTCGCTCACTCCAGCTCTATTACACACAAATGCATTTTCATATATATTTATCTCCTGCGCTAACTTTTGTTATTGTTTTCATCCGATTTTGGAGAAAATCACAAAAGAAAACTGATAAACACATACTCAAATGAAATATACGAGTATAATAGCAAATTGGAATTATTTTCTACAGAAGTGATACTGAATTTTTCGGCAAAAATACAAAATCATTCTATAATTACGAGATTCTGTACCTGTCAATTTTACACGTGAATACTGACTGAACATGATTCAATAATACAAGGTTCGATAAACTGACAGTTGTCTCTCTCGCACCGCTCCCTTAGCAGTGGCACCGTGTTGCTTCTTTGCACATTTACATGGAAACAGTGTAGCTTTGTGTGATATAGAGGTATGAGCGTTTGTGCAATATGTTTATTTGTATATGCATATGAAGCATATTTAACTGTTGAAAACATAAACTGTTTTTAAATGGGATGTTTACATCAATCTCATAGTAGTCTTATTTTAATTTTGAGTCATTTGGCATTTTTTATACAGCTAAATAGCACATAAATTACGTAATTTACATAGATACATCAATATTACGTTCAAAATTTCGTTTAAAATGCTAGATTTCCTGCAAAAACATTAGAATTTGCAAAAGGAATTTCACTACTAATTGCCTACTTTGCGTACTTTTCTACTACCATTTTCGCACCAAGAGATTTCATTCTCCCCTTTTCTCCGTCCTTCGTAAATGCAACCTTTTGTAAGGGAGTGTCAAACCGCAGCTGTCAATAATTATCTAACCTTGTATTATTGAATCATGCTGACTGAACAGCTGTCAGATATGCAGGTGTTGCTCGAGTCAATTTTTTCAAATTGTTCGTTGACAACGCATGAGCGTGAAAGAGACGACAGTAGATAAACTCCCATGATTGCCGTTTCAAATAAACTGAAAAGATATTGCCACTTGCTAGAAATTTATAAATTGCAGCAAATATTTATAGTCCCTGTGGCAAGTCCGAATCTGAGCTTTAATGATGCACAGTGGTCATGATTGCTAGTTGGTAACTTTCTACCAAAATTTTATTAATCTTTTTAATTTTACATTTTATAAATGTGTTTGCACAATAAAGGAATATTCTACACAAATATTGCAGTTATTTTCCTGTGAGTAGGCGTTTGATTTTATGTTACCATAAATGTTAAATTCGTCTAAGAAAATCTACGTCTTTAAGAGTTATGCATTACTTTAAGATTATTGAAGGTGGGATTTTTTAGCAATTCGATCGGGCTGGAGGAGTCTAACTGCCATACCTAAACAAAAGTGGCAACGCTACGTTAAATGAGGAAATAACACGAACAATAAGGATAGGTTTGTTTGTGTGAACTACGAAAATAACAGTTTCGCCGTTTTCGGCAACCAACTTAACTTCCTAACGCCCAGTCAAAATCGGATTTTCTAACCGGTAACCATTGACGCCGCGTTAATTCGGTATGCTTCATACAAATTGTATGGGTATGAGAGTTTTTTGACAGCCAGACAACGCCGACGCTTTTGTTTAGGTATGGCTGTAAGTTTCTTGTCGGCGAGTGACTGATAGAGTAAAGTGTGGTTTAGAGACACGGATTCCTCACACAATGGAAATGTTTGAAAGTTTCACAGGTTCTAGTCCGAAGTTCAAAGGAACAGATCAAATTTAACTCTCTCAGGGAGAACAGATGCACAAGTGTATGGGAACGTAAAAATCACTTTTTCCAGCAGAAACGTAAGGCTGTTTGTTTACAGATCACTGGTACTATTAAGAATAATTGCGTACATATTCAGATATTTCGTTTTCATTACGTCGGCCATTTTTTAACAAATGTAAAGGTCTTCGCTTTCAATGCGTTGTTTTTGTTTACAAATGCAACCCTGCCTATAGTTTGACATTTTTCATGAATTTGCCAGAGAAAAACTCTGGACTAAATCCAGTAACTTCTGACTAGGAAAAGTTGCTCAGTAACTCTCTCAGAAGTGCTCCCAGCTACAGATTTTTTGTTTATAGGAATGAGTTTCTCTTAGTTCTGACTAAATCCTGTAAACCGGACTCATATGGGAACAGACTAATTATTTTATTATATTAAATTTTGCATGTACACAAGTTGTTGTTGTTGTTGCAGCTGCTTACTTAGCCCTGCCTAGATCGGATTGTTCCTCAACCCTGCCACTCCGACTTGGTTGGACCAAAGGGAGTAGATATTGAGTTCGGTTTTGTGGGTAAGTGAAGAATAGTTTTGTGTCTTTCGGAGACTCTTCATATGACGGGCACACATTAAGTTTAAGTACTTTATTCTGTTCAAGTACTAGTGAAGTCTGCTGCAGTAGCCAGAACGAAGTTGAGCCAGTATGGTGCGTATCTTCCGAGCCAGTTGAAGTTCTGTCTCGTTACCGGTAGGTGGTAGTTTGCCTAAAACGACATTCACAGGTCGGGAGTTGTGAATGCCGTTCATGGCCTATCTTTGCAGAGTCGGGTCTAGTGGCTGGTCTGTGTATGTATGTACGTCTGGACCTTGTCTTCAGTTCGTGCGATGACACGTGCCTTGGCGGAGACTCTGCTGAAAGCATATGCCTGTCCGGGTGCTCATGTCTGTGGCACCATACTGCTACGTGCATAGCATAATGTTGTGCTCCCTGACAGGGTGCTTTTGGGCCTCGTTAAGGAGATGATGTTTCCGCTACATAAGAAGGCATGCCGCGGCTGCCCGGATTGCTGTATTCTGGCACCCGAAAAAAAATTCACCCGAAAATTTGTCATCCGCCTATAGTAAAACCATGGAAACCAAATGTGAAAAGTGAACCGGTTCGGGGAAAATTAAACTCATGATAAGGCTGATTATAAATCCTTTTCCCCGAAACGGTTCACTTTTGACTTTTGGTTCCATGTATGGGCGGATGAAAAATTTTCGGACGTCATAAGCCCAATAGCCCAACACGCTCTGGCTACTGCAGCAGGTTAAACTCGTACCTAAGCAAAGTAAACGCAGATGTACCAAACGAGTACCCGGCATGCGGAGAGACACCCCATGACTCAAGACATCTCTTCGCATGCCCACTGAACTCCACTCTAGTAACGCTTCGGTCCTTATGGACAGACCCCCTCCTCCAGCGCTATGTCCCTCATGGGTGGTCTCAAACTTCACTTGCATAAACTTTCTTATGTTGAACTTTAATCTCAAACTGTGACACTGTAAAAGCTTAACTCCGCGGGAGCTTTTGAAATCGCCCATCGTCGTCAAGTCAACAAAATGTAAACAAAGGATATTGGCATTGTTGTTTTTGTTTTGTTTGATATGCGCAATTCGTGTCCTTTGTTCATAATTCGCGACGGATATTTGTTGTAGCATTTCAAATTATATCGTCATATGTTTTAGTTAATAAGAGCCTAATAAATATAAATATTAATTAAAAAATAAATAGTAAAGTTGAAACCGTGCTTTGCGAAAATCAAATACAGAATATGTACAAACATCAGCTATAAATTAAAATCGAAAAGATTGCAGCGCATATAATCGATTTTTGAATTGCGTTAAATCCTAGAATAATCGATTCGAAAAAGAAATCTTATCCAACTGAATTAAAGGATATAAAACATCTTTTCAGCAGCGAAAGATATTGAATATAGTGTATCAGAGCGTAAAATAACAAATAGTGGAGAGAGGCTGCATATCTCACCCTAAAAAAAAATACCGAATTAAACGCAATTAAATATGGCCACCGACTGCAAAACGGCCACTATTAGCGGTACAACAACAACAACAACAAATACAACATCAACCACAACCCCAACCAGAACGGATTTGATGAATAATACAAAAGTTGGTACAGAATCACTAGCCGTACACACAGCTGCAAGTGGCAGAGGCAGCAGTGCTGCTGTCGGCGTTGTGGGTAATGGAGGGAACAACGATTCCGGTGCAGTATCGTCAAGTAGTGGTGATAAACCAGAAAAACAAATCGCACATATTGATTTTGATGCTCACGGTGATAGTATTGCTTTGCTTGCCGGTGATGATACCGACTATTGGCCACCCCCATCACCGCTATCAGCCATTGGCTACGGTCCCCCAATGGAGCCACAAAAGCCACGTTGGTTATCATCGTTACACAGTGTAATCTTTATCATTACCTGTGCCTTAGCGGTATTTATTGTATTTCGTAACGTCTTAACTTGGTGAGTAAATTTTTGGGCGGACTGGTACTAAATATTTGAGTTTAAATTGGTTTATGATTTTTCAAATATCGCGGCATAATGGCCAAAAAACGTAGCGACATTTTTTTTTCAAAATTTTCTTTTTGATTCAGAAATATTCCTAGAGCCATTATTGCATTAAAAAAAAATAATAATAAAAAAATCGCTTACGTTTTTTTGGCGGTTAGGGCTCGATAAATAAAATTTAATTTTATTTTATTTTCCTTTAATTTTGAAATGTGGTTTCTTTCATGAAAATTCAATGTAATGTCATTAAGGCAGTGTCACACGATCGGGCATTTGCACAAAATTTTCTGTAAATCATATCCCAATCGCGTGAATGCGCAAATATTTTTCTTTATCCCAATCACGAAAACCAAGGTGTTCAAATTTTTCAATAGAAGTACGGACAAAATAAAAATTTGTATTACATAGAAGCATGGTAACCCTGATGGAAAATATTTTCTGACTAAAATTCTCAACAATACCTTTCATTTGATATCCATATTGCGATGTTTTAGATGAATTGTGTAGAATCGAAAATAAGTGGCAACCTTAAGACTGGTTTTCACTATGTCATATATTGACACCAAAATTTGGCGACATATTTTGACACAACTTTATCTCCTCTATCCATACCTTTGCCGATGATATTATGGGTCAAAAACTGACAGCCGATTTCGAAGTGCATGTACACGACTAAAGACCTATCCTGATCCAATTCAATCGATAAACCGATTTTGATCTCATTTGACAATGTGTTTTCACTTATTTGACGACAAATGCCACTGAATTAGACATAGTGAAAACCAGCCTTTAGACAACAGATAACATTTTGTATATAGAGAAAGCATTGTTTAAGAACCTTCTATTGGTATCCATGAATAGTAAAATTTTACCTTTTTTCTAAACAAAAATAAATAAATAAATATACGATTTAAATTAAGTGGCAACCCCATTAAAAATATTTTTGAATTAGGTATCTTTAAAATGCACTCCACTTTTTTAATTAATTTGTAACTAATTTCGAATAGGTGGCAACCTTATACGAGTCTCCTCGGAGATAGTGCCTGTTCATATAACCTTAAAATCTAAAACATTATCTGTGTACAAATTTTCATTAAAATCGTTAGAGCCGTTTCCGAGAACCCTATATATATATATATATATATATTAGACTGCATCACTCCCCATACAAAAAATAATCGGTACTATTTTTCCATTGGAATTTTAAAATCTACTATATTTTAAGACGTCCACCAAAATATTTCGGAAAAATATTAAGATTTAAGTGAGCTGGACCGATTTGAAAATACCTCCAAAAATGGTTTATTTTATGAATAAAAATAGTTTCTTAAAGATTTTTTTTGAAAAAATCCCCTTAAATGACAAAACGGTTTAAGCTTAAAATATTTGCATAAAAATATTTAAAAAAATTTTAACGGAATCGTAATGATGATGCTGTTTTTAACATTTTTCAAAGATTGGTATAAGAAAAACTTGAATAATGGAACCTTAACTCTTCCGATTTAGACTTAAGAGGTGTCATTTTCATTTATTTGTTAATAAACTTATTCAAAGGATGGAAGAGAAAGGTAGGAGAAACGAACCTCATTCAAAGTTGAATTAAGATGTTTTGTATTCGAAAAAAAAGATGGGACACGAATGACGTTTCTTTTGGCCAGAAATGAAAACGGTGTGAAAATACCTTTCTACTGAGATGCCATAAGTCTAAATCAGAACAGTTTTGGCCCAGTTATTCAAGTTTTTCGTAAATCAATCTTTGAAAAAAGTAAAAAAGCAGCATCAAAAATCTCATTCTTACGATTCCGTTGAAAAGATTTTTAAATATTTTTATGCAGATTTTTTAAGCTTATTCTAATTTGTCATCTGAGGGGACTTTTTTCAAAAAGTTCTTTAAGAAACTATTTTTATTCATAAAAAACTTCATTTGTGGAGGTAATTTTAAATCGGTCCAGCTCGCTTAAATTTTAATATTTTTCCGAAATATTTTAGTGGACGTCTTAAAATATAATACATTTTGTAATCCCGACGGAAAACCGCAACTTTTTTTGGTGATGCAGTCTAATATATATATATATAAGAATTGCTCGCTTAATGTAATAAGATTTTAAGATAAATAATTTTTTTTTATATAATTATGTATTTATGTTTCTTGAGCAATACAAATTTGTAATTGCCAGACAGTTTTGTAGTTGCAAAAACCATGTCAGACGCAATATAAACAATGATATTTTTTTTTCAAATTATTTTATTATAGCTAAAATTTTGATATGGCCAGACCAAAATTATGTTGTTAATTAATAGCCATACTAATTTATACCTTCGAATTAAGGAAAGAAAATTATATTACTCATACGACATGTATCACGCGTTTGATCACACCTAATTCGTATTTACGAAAACAATAACTATTGATTACGTAAACTTTAAAGCATCTGGTGGAAGTTACCGCCAAAAGTGTCTGGCAATATTCATTATTGATTTTTAACCATATTCTATAAAGCATATAAACAGCACTTCGACTTTAGCAAAATTAACTAGCGTTTTTACTTGTGGCGTTTTCGTTTCTAGCAAAAAATTTAGCCCTTTCATTGCCCTCTTTAAACAAACGCTAAGGACAGGGTAACGAAAAGGCAACATTTATTGTACAAACAAAAACGCCATTACCTTTCCTACCTGCTACTTGTAAAAGGCCCGCCAACCCATGCAAGCATAAATTAGTATAACATTATTTAATTATACAACTGTATCATATTACAATTTTAGCTATATTAAAATAATTTGAAAAAAATATTATCATTCAGGCATGTTCTGCATTCTACTTTGGAGTTTAAATTGTTTTCTAAAAATACTTCAATTTCACATTTTTGTGTTCTACATTTTACTCTATGCTTTTGAATTCCGTTTTTTCGAACATAAAATTTTAAAAATGAACCAGCAAATCGCTACTTTTCTAAAACATCAAAAATGAAAAGTTTTATTTTTGATTTCCACTTCATTTTCATTCTACTACTTTTCTGGAACATGCCTGATTATTTAAATTGCGTCAGACACGGTGTTTGCAACTGCAAAACAAATTTGTGTTGCTCAAGAAACATAAAAAATTATAAAACAAAGATTATTTATCTTAAAATGATTTTAAAATCCGCTATTTCTACCTGTAGAGAGGGGTGATCCAGCCGAATGTCAGAAAATAAAGCGAGAATGCAGTTTTATTACATCCATCTCGGTTGAAATAAACTCAAAGTTTCAAAGAATAGCGAAGAAGAAATAATAGTTATAGCCTGCTCTCCCAACTGAGACGCGACTCGCATAGCTACAGCTTCAACAGCGATTTTTTTTTAGGTTAGGTGGCAGCCCCAAGTTTCAGGCACTCACATAGACAATTAGGAGATGGTCCTTTGTGATACCACATTCTGAACGGCACCCAATACTTAATCGATAAAACGCCTCCAGCCGATTATGTAATTACGAATTCGGCTAATCTCAAATACTCCAGAGCTCCAGGGGACTATTACCGCCTCCTTGATAGCAGCTACTTCCGCCTGAAATACACTGCAGCAGTTCGAAAGCCTGGACTTACTACTCATGGAAAGCTGTCGGCAGAAGACTCCTCCACCAACCCTACCATCCAGTTTCGATCCATCCGTGAAGAAGTTCACTGCTCCAAGATTTACTTTAGTAATCCTTACTATTTACTTTAGTAAGGATTGAAACTGGATTAGACACGGATTAGAGACATGAGCCACTTAACAGTAGTAAGGGTTTTTATGTTTTAAATTTTGAATTGTGTCGTTATTGTAGAGGACCCGCGATGTGCACATATGTATATATACATAAAGTGCCGGTCACTTCAATAACGCCACCTTTTGATGCTCAGTATTGACAGTTTTGGTTTTCTTTATTTAATATTCATTAATTTTTACAAAAATATAACACATTCTAAATATAACAAAAACCATGCAAATCCAATTTACACAGTGCAATTTTTTGTAAACTTGATTTTGATTAAATTTTATGTAATATGATATTTTTATAAAAAAATTAATGAATATTAAATGAACAAGAGGAAAACTGTCAATACTGAGAACAAAATGGGGCCTTATTCAAGTGGCTGGCACTGCATTTGTACATACATATGTATATATATACATACATACACCTCGGTAATTTTACAGCGTAGTTTTTTATCGATATTTCTTTGTGACGGTTTTCTTTTCTTAACACATATAAAAAGTATATACCTATGTACATTAGGGTGGTTCAAAAATGCATGTAAAAAAAAAGTAAAGTCGGAATTTTTATACTCTCACCCCCTAAGATTGTTCTATACCGAAAAAATTATACCCCTCTTTTTTATTTTGAAATCAAAAAATATTTAGAGGTCGCTCAAACCGCTCAAAGTTTCCCATGTATTTTATATGGAGAAAAAACAACTTTTCGTAGAATTGGTATAGAATTCTTGAAAATCAATATTTTTGCACCGGAGGAGATTCCCAGTGATAATACCTAATTATTTTTTTAACCATTTTTTCATAGTAACTATATTTTATATGTCCGCCAAAACCGCTAGAAAATGCCAGAAAAAGCAATGGGAAGATAAATAAAAAATCTTTAGCTTTGAAAAATGGTTAAACAAACAATTGGTTATTGTTATTGGAAGTCTCCTGAAGAGAACCAAATTTTTCCGATCGAAAAATATGATTTTCAAGAATTCCATACCATTTCTACGAAAAGTTGGTTTTTCCCATATGAAACACATGGAAAACTTTGGGCGCTTTGAGCGACCTCTAAATATTTTTTGATTTCAAAATAAAAAAATAGGGGTATACTTTTTTTCGATATAGAACAATCATAGGGGTGAGAGCATTAAAATTCCGACTTTACTTATTTTGGATCACCCTAATGTACATGCATACATGCACGTCCGGCTTTCTTTGCATATGGATGTAGATATCTACATATATACTCTGAACAAAGAATATCTAAGAATATGAACACATATACAATGCATATAGATAGACATCTATAGATACATGTATGTATGTACAAATGTATAAACAAAGATATTATTCATACACTTGACCGATTGTTTACTTTTTACATTCCGCCAATTTTGTTTACAATTTGCTCTAACTAGCACCTAACAGTCAGTCGCGCCCCCTCTGCTTTTGTAACATGCAGCGTAAACTAGTAAATGGTTTTAAGGGTTTTTACACCCTTTATAATTTGGTGGTTGGTCTTAGGGGAAAAATTCAAATAAACAAAGAAAAACTAGTTCACAAATGATTTTATGACTTTATCATGTAAACATTCACGCCTATGTTTGACGACTACAACACGTATGTAAATAGTATATATCTTTACCTTACTGTAGAAAGGCCCTAACTCATTTTCTTTTCAAATCTAACATTGTACAAATATCTGCCGATTACTCACTAAAAACCTATTGGATTTTAAAAATAACTACTAGAGCATACAACTATTTGCATTTTTAAATATAAAAAACATTTAAAAGAAATTCGCAGCAAAAGGACTGGGGTTTTTATGTAGTTTTTTCATCACTCCCTAAAGAAGCCAAAATGTAAGATAGGGCCTTTATATTATAATTAAGGTACCGTACACACCCTACCGGAAAATCTGCTATTGTCTTTATGCCTTAGCAAGAATAATATTCTGCTACTTAAAAACATAGGTAGTGACAATATCAAGGCGCGCACTACAAAAATGGAGTTAGTTAAATGTCAAAGATACTGAGTCTGAAGATTTTCTGCATAGAGTTGATGTCTGTATGAGTCCTGGAAATTTTTTCTACAAGCGGCTAAAGTGAGCTTTTTTATAAAAAAGTTCATTGTTTCCAGTGTGGTCACACATGGGCTTTTCCTACCAAAACTGGTATGTTTTTTTCCATTTGGTAGGTTTGTAGGCTAGATTGGATTTTGGTACGTTTCGCGACAATGAGTAATAGTTGTTTGCGAAAAATAGAAAATATGTATCCCCAAACATTTTAGCAACCTTGTTTACACGAATATTTAACCGGTGCGTTCGTATAACGTCGACGGCAAACATGTGTATATGTATACCCGATTCGTAAGTAAAAACGTGTACCCTTATTATTGCGTTCTTGGACCAAGATTCCAGAAAAGTCTGCCAATTGGCTCGTACCCAGCCAGATTCCAGGGGCAGGTCTTTGCAATCGAAGTCTGTGTTCGCGAATATCTTCGTAGAAGGACAAATGGGGCCAGAATAAATATTGTGTCGGATAGTCAGGCAGTGTTAAAGGCCTTAGACTCTTTTAAAACTACATCAAGGCTTGTGGCGTCTTGAAGCACCTGCGAGCCCGCTATAGCGTAACGCTGACGTGGATTCCGCAACATGAAGGGTTTGAAGCCAGCGAAAGGTCTGACTGTCTCGCAAAGCGTGGAACCGAAATGCGAAAAAATACATTGCAGAATTACTTAGGAGCTAAGAAGAATCTCAGACTGCTGCCCACTGGCAGAAGAAAGAGATAATACGACGACCAAAGAGATTCAAAACTTCTCCCAGGAGGAACTCCGAAATACTCCTTGTACTTGGAACTCTTACTGGCTAAACGACAGCACACTACAAGTTAAGGACAGACTACAATAGATGTTCTTAGGTCGCATAAGTCTGCACAGTAAAATTAATTGTTATACGCAGTTATATTAGTTTTTATTGTACTAGCTGTGTCTTAGTTTTACTAAATGTTAATTTATCTGCATTTTTAATAAACTTGACATTGAACAAAAATTTAAAAAACTTAAAAAAATGTTTGGTAGGTTTTGGTGGATTTTGTTAGGAAGTTTCGGTAGGGAAAAAATTTGTCTGTGGCAACACTGCTTGTTTCACTAAATCATGCTTTCCCTACAGGGTATGTATTTACATACATATGTACAAATGAGTAGCTTCCATGTCGATAGACATCTACCAACAAAAGCAAGTTCCAATACCCACTCTCTCTCTCTCTCTCTTTCTCTCTCTTACATCTGCAATTTTCCAGTGCCCGTGTGTGCAATTGCAATTTGGTGAGAGTAGAATCTCTCGATCGCTTTGTTTTGAATTAAATTTCGTTATAGTGTAAACGCTGAGATCGCTACACATCTCACCGAGTCAAATTGTGTTCATAAATTCCTACTTGCATACAAATTAACACAACAAAGGCACCCACCAACCAACTGACATTCTTGCCATAGCCGTCCAGAATTTCGGTTCTCCAAACATTCATTCTTCAATTAGTTCTAGTGTGTTATTTTCTTTTTTATTTGCGGGTTTCCATTTCCCCACCTTGGCAATTACATGTGTACATATACGTACCTTTAGATACAAACACATATTTACAATTCTGGCGCATTGTAGTTCCGACTTTCGTTTCAAGTTCAGCTTAGCTCAGTTTTAAACTGGAAGCCTTGGCATAGATACATACGATATATCTTTTTGTTAGTGTTTTATTTTATTTATTTTGTTGTTGTTGATTTTCTACCATTATTTTTGCTTTCACTGAAAATGGAAAAATTCTACTATGTGGATATGTTTCTACTCAGGCATTTGCAAAGCTTCTGGGGTGCATCAGGCGATTTCTGGCAGGCGCAATGGGATAAATTTATCGATAAAACAGGTGAGTAGAATAGAGAAAAAAAGAAAGTGATAATAGTATTTAATAGCATGAATATATGTATGTACATATGTATGTAAAGTGCAAGGTACGTAGAATTACTCTGTGAAACAGCTAAACTAGCCTTAATCAATTTTTCCTCCAACTGTGCCAAAAAGAGCTGCAATGAGAGGAGTTAAAATTTTTTATGAAGAAATCGTTCGCTAAATTTAGCTACAGACCTCTGAAGACCAGAATTTAGGTTTGAAGTCGATCTGTACAATATATCATAATTTATGCCCTGAAGGTCTGCTTGAAGTCAATTTGTACATAAAATACTTGTAAGATAATTGATTTTGTAAAAGTTTAAACTTTAACCCACTGATGAGGGGAACCAAAATCCTCGCGTAGTGGGGCTATCAGGTATAAATAGTACCATTTAGGTAAAGCGTGGTGGATGTATGAAACAAACCCCCACGTTGCTATTTATTACTGTATTAAAGTTAGCCTCTACTTTTGATTTTCTTTATTTTGAAAGTTTGGCATAAGTCATTTCCACACTTTTGTGCTTAAATGGTTGATTACTTCAAACTGAATGAATCTGTAAATCGTTCAACCGTCATAAACTGATAGGCAAAACTGGTTACCTTTGGCTGATAAAGTTGCACGAATAACAGACGCGTTCAAAACGGTTAAATTGATCGATCACTGAAGTCATACGGCATGAGTTGACTTATGCCACTTTCAAAATAAACGCCTCACATAACGATTTTTGATTTACAATCAAGTGATTAGTGTTAGACATCAAACGATGAGGTGGTTTATGACGACTACTTATATGCATACCATGATGATCTTGTTTATTACCGTATTTGTCTATACTGATAGCCCTTAGATCCGCAGTTGTTTGTTTAATATAAGCCATGTTATCTTGGCGGTTTTAGTTAATCTATAATTAGAGATTAAATGATAAATAATAAAACTGGTAGTAGAAATTGTTCGTATTCACCTACTGTATTGCCAGTCCCTCAAAAAAAAATAATAATAATAATACTTGTGCGATTAATCTCTAAAGAGAGTAGTCCTGGATTAATCTCAATTGGACATTCATTAGTTTATACGGACCCGAGTGGTTAGTGGTGCGTGCTTCAAAATATTTTGCACAATTTGTAACTTGGATTTATGTATATCTATGGTTTTTCTTATAAAATAAACTTTATAAAAAAAAATTTTTAAACTTATCAAAATCTGTTTATCCTTATCATTATGTTTATCAATACATACATACATGTACGTACTTAAGCAAAATTATCGTCCTAATCTAGTTCAATACGAGTATGTAAACATAGAACTACATAGCGTTAAACTCATTGGTACATAGTTTGAGCAAATAAAGTCACTAGCTAGCTCAAATAATGGTTAAAGGTTATCAAAATTCGTGAGACTTAACTTGTAAACTGCATTTAAGTACATGAATACACACACCTGTTGAAGTGGAATTCGCGCTTCTGTGTATTCGTTGTATCATTCGTAATACGTTGTTCGCATGAGGCGATTTTGCGTTCAACGTTTGCGTTCACCTCACGCACGAAAAAAAATTGAATGGCTAAAAATATCAAAATATATAAAAATATTCGCCATAAAAAGGCGTTTGCATTGTTTAACTTTGCATTCTACTTTAGTTTCAACGGCCTTTCAGCAAATCGCTTTCAACTAAGTTGGTCGCCAGCCAAGATTAAGCCATTCAAGTTTTTTTCGTGCAACCCTGCGTGCTGTTAATAGTTTTTACCTAAATTACATATTTCTTATTTACTGAAAGATCGTCACAACTCAAAGAAATACGGTATTTTTCAGGAGACGCGTTAAAAGTTTTCAAAATTGCTTGTTTTTATTTTGCGTGTTAAATTATGGGAAAGATTTATTCACATGGAATTGGCGATAAGGATGAATATGTAGCTAGTAATTCTGCATCATTAACTCAAAAATAGTTTTTTTTTTTAGCTATGGCAGTCCCTTATTAAATGAGCGATATGTTCATATACATACCTACATACTTTTACGTACATATGTACATTAGACTGCATCACTCCCCATACAAAAAAAAATCGGTACTGTGTTTCCATTGGAATTTTAAAAAGCTATTATATTTTAAAGCTTCTACCAAAATATTTCGGAACAAAATATTAATATTTACGTGGGCTGGACCGATTTGAAAATACCTCCAAAATGGAGTTTTTATGAATAAAAATAGTTTCTTAAGGATTTTTGTTTTTAAATCCCCTCAAATGACTAAATGGTTTAAGCTTAAAAAATTTGCATAAAAATATTTAAAAAGAATTTTAAAAAATTTTCAACGGAATCGTAATAATTAGATTTTTGATGCTGTTTTTTAACTTTTTCCAAAGATTGGTGTAAGAAAAACTTGAATAACTGAACCTAAACTCTTCCGGTGTAGACTTGTGAGTTATCATTGGAAAGGTATTTTCTCACCTTTTGTATTTCTTTGCTAGTAAACTCATTCAAAGGATGAAAGAGAAAGATACGGTGAACGAACATAATTCAAAGTTGAATTAAGATGTATTTGTATTTGAAAAAAAAAAAAATTGGGACACGAATGACTTTTTTTGACAGAAATAAAAATAGTGGGAAAATACCGTTCTACTGAGATCCCATAAGCCTATATCAGAATAGTTTGATCCAGTTATTCAAGTTAGAAAAAAGTAAAAAAAAAACAGCATCAAAAATACCATTATTACGATTCCGTTGAAAAGATTATTAAATATTTTTATGCAGATTTTTTAAACTTAATCTGTTTTGTCATCTGAGGGGACTTTTTTCAAAAAGTTCTCTAAGAAACTATTTTTATTCATAAAAAACTCCATTTTTGGTGGTATTTTCAAATCGGTCCAGCTCACGTAAATCTTAATATTTTTCCGAAATATTTTGGTGGACATCTTAAGATATAATAAATTTTTTTGGTGATGCAGTCTAATGTATATACTTTATTTTGTATTTTTGCGTATATTTTAGACAATTTAAAATTTCTACCGCGATTCATTGACTTTGCACAATCAACAAGTGTTTGTACATTTGAGATTGAAAGAGGCAAATCGCGTTGGTTTATTCATTAAATTTACAGCGAGCCCCGTTAACCGCCTTCCCACTACTAATTTGCTTATTTTCACATTACAAATTCTCGTCTGTAAATACTATTTGTTGTTATTTTTTATTATTATTTGTCTGCGAAATAGTACATCACTTGTCGGATTCAATTAAGATGTGTAAAATATGTATTTATAAATAAAATGCAAGCTTATATAACAAGCATTGATAGTAGTACACTGCGTGTATTACATAGTACGTCTGTAAGTTGATTAGGCCGGGTGTAACCCCATACAAAAGAAATATTTGACAATGTCCCCCTACGTTTGAAGGGTTAGGTTAACAAGAGATGAGTTTGGTTAATCTCGCTGGCGTGGTGCACATGCATAGATCGTTCGGCCCCTGCCGGTGCCAGAAGTAGATCGAATCTTGAGCACATCTGTGGAACATTCTTATCGATCTCTTTCGGTATCTTTTTAAAGAGTTTTCATTGTTTGTATGTTCATTTTTCAAGAAAACAACGATCAAAAAACACATGTCAATATGTTCTTCAAGCGATAAGACATGGCCATTTTTATGGCCGCACAATCTTTCCGAAGAAAGCTTTCACACCGACCTTGCCTAATGTAGATGCTATGATATTTAAGGGTTGTGTCATGAACTTAGGAATAGTTTAACATAATTTTAAGATTTTTTGGGGACATTTTGCTATTATTAAGGAATTTTCAAAGTACTTATGGGGTGCTACTGAGCATTTAACCTTTGGTTGCTGAGTTTTCTAATAGCTTTCAATAATAATTACGTATAAATTTCACAAGACTCGTTGTGTCGCGTAGCCGGTTATGTTGGTGGGCCGATTTTCAGGTAAATACTAGGAACTCAGACTTCTTAGCACAGCGTCGAGATAAGCTTATTCATGCGCTATTGGAACTTTTGGTTCTTAAGTGAAGCGCTCTTGCAGAAGATTCAAAAATTTCTGCGACAGTGATGTCCGCGCGCAGTGCTTTTTTGAGCTTCCTATAGATTTTATATTAGAGATGGACACTATAGGACAGTGACGACCAGAGAAAGTTTTTAGTCTGCGCTGCTTGTCGATAAAAAAGCAATAGAAAATTTTAAAGAGCTCCTCTGGAGCGATGACTTTTGTTTCTGACTTTCAAAGTCAAAGCGACGATATCAGTTAAAAAAAAAAAATAAAAATTTAGTAATTAGATATAATAGGTATTTGTAATTTTTTAGTAATACATATGTAACTGATCTGATATGTAGTATACATGCATATGTATATACACTACGGTGGTCCAAAAATACATGTAAAAAAAAGGTAAAGTCGGAATTTTTATGCTCTCACCCCCTAGGATTATTCTATATCGAAAAAAAGTATACCACTATTTTTTTATTTTGAAATCAAAAAATATTTAGAGGTCGCTCAAAGCATTCCATCTATTTTGTATGGCAAAAAAGAACTTTTCGTGGAAATGGTATGGAATTCTTGAAAATCAATATTTTTCGATCGGAAGACTCTGTTTCGCTTCAACGGATTCCCAATAATAAAACCCAATTATTTTTTTAACAATTCTTTCTTAGTAGCCTTATTTTATAGGACCGCCGAAACTCTTAGAAAATGCCAGAAAATGAAATGGGGGATAAATATAAAATCTTCATTATTAAAAAATGGTTAAATAAATAATTGGATATTGTTTTTGGAAGTCTCCTGAAGAGAACCAAACAAATATTGATTTTCAAGAATTCCATACCATTTCCACGAAAAGTTGTTTTTTCTCCATACAAAATACATGGAAAAGTTTGAGCGCTTTGAGCGACCTCTAAATATTTTTTGATTTCAAAATAAAAAAATAGGGGAATACTTTTTTCGGTATATAGAACAATCCTAGTGGGTGAGAGCATTAAAATTCCGACTTTACTTATTTTGGACAACCTTAATATACACGTATGATGAATATTTATGAAGAAATTAATATTCTATATGTTTCAGGTGATGATCCCATGATGCTATGGGTCATCGGTAGTACCATTTTCACAATGATTGTCTATTGGTTAGTCGGTGGCATTTATATTTTCATGGATTTGACTAACCGTCCAGCATTCCTGCGCAAATACAAAATTCAGCCGGGCACTAATGAGCCGGTCGAAACCGAACGTTTAATGAAGGTAACTCAACTTTTATTATAATACATTTTATATTTGGGTGTTGCAGAACATCTTTTTGTCGAATTTCGATATGCTTAGACTTTTACGAAATACTGTAGGATAACGATTACCCGTATCGACTTGAAGTTTAAATTTTGGCTAGGAGCTTGTACTGAAATTAACATACCGTACGAAAGTTGCACATAACTGTGCTATATATGTATGCCCATTAAGGTAGTCCAAAAATACATGCGGGGAAAAAATTTAAAATGTTAAGCTTTCACCCCATAGGATTTTTAAATGGAAAAAATAATACCCGTATGTTTAGAACTACCTCACAACATACTTTTTCGTAAAAATGGTATAGAATTCTTAAAATCAATATTTTTCGATCGGAAAGCCCTGTTTCTCTTTAGGAGACTTGCAATAACAGTTATATGTCGTTTTTTTAACCATTTTTTAATATGAAACATATTTTATAGGCCTCCAAAAACCCCAAAAAATGCATTGGGGAGACCCATAAAAAATTGTTGGTATTATAAAATGGTAAAATAAAGAATTGGGTATTATTATTGCATGGAAGCAACCGAATTTTCCTATCGAAAAATATAGATTTTCAACAATTCTAAACTATTTTTACGAAAAATAGCTAAAGCTTGCGGCGTTGTTGTTGAAACAGCATAAAAAGTCATTGCAACGAAGACTAGGGCGTCTATATATGTACATACCTATATAGACCAGTGGGTCTACTGGACACACAGCTCTTCACAACACCTCATGAAGCCCTAGAGACACAATAAATTTCAAAATAGATCTCGGGCATAGGGAGCGTATATCCTCTTTTGGCCACATATGTATGCCCTATACTCCTCTTCCTTCTACGTGAAATGGCCTCATAGTGCAGTAGGAGGTGTAGCTCCATGATTTTAATAAGGGCGTCTAACAGGCTACCGCTCTTCCAGACAGAATTGGGCTTAAACATTATTTAATAAACAGAGAGGTTTTACTATCAGTTCACGGAGATCGACTTAAGCCGCAACTTCGAAATATCTCACAAAAAGGACAGGGAATCTAACACCGTTTCAAGCACTGACAAAATTTCAGTATTCACAGGTTTTGGATCCTAATTGGACATAGAAATGGGATCTGACATACAGACCTCCAGATTGCTGCAATATTTTTCAGGCTGCGATCTAAGCAAAGTTTGTAAGCATTATGGACCTTATTCACACAAAACTCGCCTTACTTATAAAAATGTCAGGCTGCGATCAAGACCCTGAAGTCGGCAGGCACTAACTTGATATAAATTAAGGAATGTCGTAAAATCTTTTAGACATCACATCGTCACTCTTTACTGAGTCCCAAAGCATAGTTGAATTTCGGAAAATAAGGAAACTGACGAGTACGCGGAAGAAGTTAGAGCATATTTCTACCAGGAAAAAGCTTCTTACAAAAAACCATCTGCCGTTCGGAGACGGTGTTAAATCGAAGGTCCTTCTATTCGTTTGATAACTTTAAGAAGCACTCCTCAAATTAGAGCAGAAGCTCGACCAAACCCTTAGCAAAAAGGCAATTTACACAAGTCAACTGCTGAATTCAACTAAAATTTGTCTGTAAATTCGCCGCATGTAAATTCCCTACTAGACAAAAAAAAAACATATAGAGGCTATGCATACCGAATATCGCTAAAAAAAAAAAACTTCTTTTGCTCTGTGGCACTATACTTGACAATAATATGGTCTCTTTTCCTTCACTCGCAGGTTATGTGGCGCGTAATAAGCAATCAGCTATTTGTTGGTATTCCATTCGCTTTTCTCAGCTATAAACTAATGACATTGCGTGGCCTCAACTCAATACGCGAATTGCCAACATTCCACTGGGTTTGTGTAGAACTGACCGTGTGCATTCTAATGGAAGAGTTAGGCTTCTACTATTCCCATCGACTGTTGCATAATAAACATATTTATAAATTTATACATAAGCAACATCACGAATGGACAGCACCAATAGCGGTTACGGCAATCTATTGCCATCCCATTGAGCATATCTTTAGCAATTTACTGCCTCCATTTCTGGGCGTTTTTCTAATGAACACACACGTTGCCACGGCTTGGATGTGGTTTGCTCTAGCCATCCTATCGACACTCAATGCGCATTCCGGTTATCATTTGCCCTTCTTTCCCAGTCCAGAGGCGCATGACTTTCACCATTTGAAGTAAGATTTACTTAATAAAATAGCAAAGCCATTTTGTAACAGCTATTTAATTATAAATTTAAAAAAAAATTAATCTTTCAGATTCAACAATTGCTTCGGCGTGCTAGGTGTTTTGGATCGTCTACATGGCACTGATATTTTATTCCGAGCAACTAAGTCGTACACGCGACACATTATGATGTTGAGTTTCGTGCCACCGCGTGAGGCCTTCCCGGATTCATCAACTAAATAAAATTATTTATAAAATTCAAGTGGGATGCATTTTTCAACTTGGTTTTAATATTTGGCAATACTTGTAGATTTAAGTTGCAATCTTTAAATTTATGTGATATGAATGTATGTATGTATAAATGTAGCTAAATAAGGCAATAAGATAAATATTAATAATCTGAAATAGTCATTTATATACTTTATTGCATCGGAAATTATAAAGGAGTGAAACCTTTCAATGAAATGGTACGTAATTGCAGTCAACGAGCGGAACTTATGGCTTATAGACCTGGCCAAGGGCGCATGAGTTCAACTTCAGAAGGGGCTCTTACTCCTTTATCGGATTTAGCGATCCAAAAGGAGGCAATGAAGGCAAAATGTCCACAGCTTTTTTTTTATCTTGTGACGCGACGATCGACATTCTGGCCACAGAGAGTAGTTTAGAAGTTTGTCGAACGTATTACCTGAAGTCCCTTTCGGCAGAATGCACGTCGGTAATTTTTCAGACACTATCTTGGGGTATTCGGTAAAAACTTTATATACCGACGGGCAAAATAGTGAAAATGGAACTGGAGCCGGATGAAATCTGGAGGCTAACTTCTGATGGTTCCCTACTTTAGGTAAGATGACCACGCTCATTCAATCGGAAATTTTTGCAATGCTTAAAGTAGCAGACAGGATAACCAGCGAAAGGTGGCGTGAACATCAACTCATCGTCTTCAGTGACAGCCAATCTGCACTAAAGGCCTTGTAAACTGATCACACCTCTTCAAAAATTATGCAGGAATGTAATTTGAGGCTGAATCTCGTTAAAAATTGGAATACGCTTTAACTTATGTGGGTACCGGCACACTGTGGTGTCCACGGCAACGAACTGGCTGATGCTTTGGCACGTGTAATTCAACCGGTGTCAAATTTTAGGGCCAAACAAAGCGGTAACTGTCAGGTATACACATCAGAGATCTCATGACTGAGGCTCATAGGAGTTGTACGGTGGTACGGGTACGTTTAGGTTGCAGAACAGTGCAAGAAATAACACACTCCACACGGCCTTAGAGCCGCTCTAAGGTTGGACTGCACTCCATATTTTGGTCCAAGTAGCAGTAGCTTCGAGGAACTTGCAAATGCTTAATTCTGAAAGTGCTATTAAAAAAAAAATTCACAAACATATCTGTGAGCATAATACCAGGTCTGGGAATCTGCGAGTTCTGCGACGCTATGCCAAGGAAATCTGCTTTGAAAGAAAATTCAATGTCAAAACTGCAGACCGAGATGTCGGGTCAAGCGGATTATCTTAACTAGATCCCAAATTTATACACTGGTATGCAGACGGATCGAAGATGGATGGCACAACACGAGCGGGTTCCTTTAGACCTGGCACCAAATTTTCTATTGCAATTGGTACTTGGTCTTCGGCCGAAATACTAGAAATCGCAATTTGTACCAGACGAAGGTAGAAGGGTTTAAAAGGCGCCTTTCAAGTTATCTGTTCCGACATCCAGGCAGCCATAAGGGCCCTATCCAATAGGACGATCTCCTCCAGGCTCGTCAAGGAGTGCTTTGACACTTTCCAACTATGATGGGTAAACTCAGAATGCAGTAAGTACTGGACAGAAGTTGGAGGTCTTAGAGAGTCCAGAATTTTTGGTTATCCTTTTGATGGGAAAGATATAAATCTCTTCAAAGTCAAGTTTCTGTTGCATACATTACAATGAGACGAGTCTTGCGAAATTCGGGAGATTCTACAGAGAATTTGCAGAACACATTTGCGACGGCGAGTCTCGAAGAAGATGGAACAATAAACTATATGATCCTTACAAGGATATGGACATTTGAAGATGCAGCGGCTGCGCCTGCTTGGTCTTGTTTTACGAATGGACAAAAACGTCAGAGTTAACACAGGAAAAGTAAGTCGAAGGCGCCCCTGCAATGTCAAGGCCAACAGAGAAAGACTTGGCATTTCCTAATACGGCACTGTTAAACTCCTTTCCTTTCATAATCATAACCCTTAATCAAGAGAATTCTTCTTTCTGTGTTGCCAAAGAAGAGGGATAGGTCACGCCTTCTGGTGTCAAGGCAATGTAAAATTATTTGTGCATTTGTAAGGTGTAAGCACAAAAAATTAAATAGTAAATATCTAAAAAACTATTAATAAGTAGATCCCCCGGCACAAGCCGCTTTAAGTTTCATAAAAAACCTAGTATATCTTGAGAAAAATTAAATAGTTCATGCTAGCGAAGTCAACCCAACATACTACGCGTTTATGTAGGAATCGCTTCCGTAGTTGGCATTAGGAAACCCAGATTTCTTTAATTGAGAGGGAATTGGAGAGAATTTTTTCTTACTGCATAGCAAAAATATACGGATGCGCAATATGTGCGGGATCGCAGCCATTACAACTCTCCAATTTGAGCGCTCATACATACTTTTCGAAATCAACCCTGCATATTGTTGCTAGCTGAATTAGTGATGTCAGTGCAAAAGTCCATCGATGTTTTTTTTTTATTCGATGCATCGGTATTTTTCGATGCATCGATTTGCATAGAATTTTTTAGGTAAAATTTCACAAAAAAATGTGTTATTCGTAAAATTGTAGAAAATTTGAAATAAACCACTGCAACTTAGCTAATTGTACAATTGAAAAACTGGAATGACGTTTCGATACTAGAGATGTGAGTTAAAAGAAAAAAAACATCTATGCATCGATGCATCGATACAGACTATTTATACATCGAGTGGAAATTTTTCGATGTATCGATGCTTTTCCGACATCACTAACCTTAATCAGCTGGTTGCGAAATATACCCATTGGTTTTGATAAACTTCTTTTACAAACGAAAATAAAGACAAATTTTGGAAATCTGGTTAAAGAGGCGACTGTTCATCAATTTCTGCGGTTATTTTTGTTTTATACATTATCTTTCGTGAATGCAGCTCAAAGTGATAAGATCTCTGTTATGGCATTAAAAGTGATTTCGCTATTTTTCGCATGTTATCTGCAATTGTTGCTGCATCAGCAATATCCAAATTTGGTTGCTGGCGAAAGTGTTGAGAGTACAACGTCATCATTGCCAAATAATGGCTCTAATATTCCCATAATAAAGTATCAAATTACAAATACGCCTAATGTCGGCAAGAGGTTACTTCAGGATGTGATAAATGGAACTACAGGCAAAGAAACTGGTGATAAAGTGCAGAGTCGCAAAATAACAAACACGGAAAATGTACCAAAACCGACAGAAATGCAAGACTCCTTAAAGGGAGATATTGTTGCACC